ACTTAACACCAAAAATCCAAACAACCCAATGGATAAATGGGCTAAAGAGCTGAACAGACACTCCTTAGAAGATGATATACAATTGATCAACATTTTTAATTAGTAATTAGAGAAATGCAAATCAAAACTATCCTAAGATTTTATCTCAATGCCAGTCAGAATGGCAGTTATCAAGAATACAGAGAACAATAAATGTTGACAAGGATGTGGGGGCAAAGGCACACTCATGTATTGCTGGTGGGACTGCAAATTGGTGCAACCAATCTGGAAAGCAGTATGGGGAGTCCTTAGAAAACTTAGAATGGAACCACCATTTGACCCAGCTATCCCACTCCTTGGTCTATACCCAAAGGACTTAAATTCAGCATACTATAGTAAAACAGCCACATCAATGTTTATAGCAGCTCAATTCACAATAGCTAAACTGTGGAGCCAATCTAGATGCCCTTCAATAGATAAATGGATAAAGAAACTGTAATGGAATATCACTCAGCATTAAAAGAGAATAAATTTAAGGCATTTGCAAGTAAATGGATGGATTTGGAGAATATCATGCTAACTGAAGTAAGCCAATCTCCAAAAAATCAAAGGCTGAATGTTCTCTCTGATAAGTGGATGCTGATCCATAATTGGGGGGTGGGGAGAGCATGGGGAAAACAGAGGAACTTTGATGGGGCAAAGGGGAGGGCAGGATAAGGAGGGTGCATGGGGGCAGGAAAGATGGTGGAACAAGATGGACATCATTACCATATGTACCTATATGACTGCACATATGGTGTGATGCTACATCATTTACAACCAGAGAAATGAAAAGTTGTGCTGCAATTGGGGACAATGAATCAAAATATATTCTGCTGTCAAAAAAAGTATATGAAATATTTAGAGAAGAAGTAAAAGTTAATAAAACAACAACAAACAAACAGCTGGACAGTGTGCCGTGTTGCACACCTGTAATCCCAGCAGCTCTGGAGGCAGGAGGATCGAAAGTTCAAAGCCAGCCTCAGCAACTCAGTGAGGCCCTAAACAATTCAGTAAGACTATGTATGTCTCAAAATAAAGTAGAAAAAAAGGCCTGGGGGTGTGGCAAAGTGATTAAGTGCTCCTGAGTTCAATCTGCAGTACAAAAAAAAAAAAAAAAAAAGAAAGAAAAGACAGCTTGTTCTTGGCAAGATAAGTTTTGCAATAAATCAATCTTTCAAGCTCAAGCTGAGTAATGTGCTTGTCATGACACTTCATTAAGTGTTTTCTTATTGAATTCTCATATAGTCATTAGCCCATCAGGAGCCTTAGGAGGTCAATTTTATTCCAAAGGTATTGAGAGTATAGTCAAAAACCCATTCCAGAGCTCTCTGTCCACAAAGCCTGTGCCATCAGCCTTGAGTTTCCATGGCTGCCTTCCCTGGTAAGTGTCTGTACTCAGGGACTAAATGGTTGGAGATTCCCCCAGGGAATATTACAGCCAAAGGTAGACAAGTCTACCAAGTGCCTTTGTTTTCTCATATGAAATGGGTTTGATGCTATCTTGAGTTTAAAAAAAAAAAAATATATATATATATATATATATATAAGTTGTAGGTGGATACAATACCTTCATTTTATTTATTTACTTTTATGCGATGCTGAGGATGGAACCCAGCGCCTCACACATGTGAGGCAAGTGCTCCACCACTGAGCTACAACACAGCCCTATCTTGAGGTGTTTTGAGAGTAATAAATGAGATAATATATGGGTGAACAGGTAATTTTTCTGGCACAGAGAAGTGGCACAGAGTAGTGGTTATGAGATGATGAAAGATTTTGGAAATGATACTAGAGATTAAAGGTGTGCTTATGCTTTGAAGAAGCTAGAAAAAGGGGCATGAGAGAGTATAATCACTTTCATAAATTGGATAAATATCTTTCATTATTATTCAGTGTTTGCCTCCTAATACTATGAATTTTCTATATTTGTTTCTAAATCTAGTACTAAGTAAAGTACACACAGGATGGCAGATGAAAGTAACTATGGTAATTCTGAAAGTAATAATGTGTCCTTAATTAATACCCAAGATATTGAGGGTACGAGTAACAAAGAAAAACCTCTGCAAATATGCACATGTACTAATAAAAACTTAAAAATCATAAATATACATTTGAGAAGGATGGGCTTTAAGCTAGACAGAAAACTGCCTCAATAGCTCACACCTTATTTATTTATTTTTTTTTTTGGTACCAGGGATTGAAACTTATTGGTGCTTAACCACTGAGCTACATCCCCAGCCTTTTTTTTTTTTTTTTTTTTGAGACATAGTCTTGCAAAGCTGCTTAGGCCTTTGCTAAGTTGCTGAGGCTGGCTTTGAACTTGTGATCCTCTTGCCTCACCCCGCCCAACACCCCCATCCCCTGCCCCTTGCCAGCCACTGGAATTACAAGTGTGTACCTCCATGCCCAGAAATAGCTTGCACTTTCAATACTTTACTTTATGTGAGGGTTCTCTGGAAAAAAAAGAAATAGAACTACTGTGTGAGCCACCAATCTCATTAGGTTCATACATGAAGGTAGTGAAATCAGCATATTAAAGAGACCTCTGTGTTCTTATTCTTACTGCAGTGCTATTCAGAGTAGCAAAGGTATAGAACCAACCTAGGTATTCAGAACTGATATCATACAATGGGGCAAGCTCTACCAGTTGAGGACCAATTATTCTTTAACACAAGAATTTTTGGAGGATATTTAAGATCCAAATCATTGCAATAGGTAAAATGAAATCAAGGTTTGACTCTTGGTCATATTCGTTCCTGCCTATGTGACCTGAGCAGTTGACTTAAACTTTATGAACTTCATTAGCTATCCCATGAGATTGTTGACATAAATAAAAATAACTCAAATTCATAGAGTGGGGGTGGTGGTGACACTTAACAACTGTCCAATAATGGTGTTACTTCCTCTCTAACTGGGTTGCTACAAAACATCTACTGAAAATTTGAGCACTTTAACAACTACTATCTTGTGGTGCAATCTAGTGATTATAGGTGTAATATGCTACAATTCCGATGTTATGATTAGCTGATCAAATTCTTCAAGGGGAAGGGATATATTTGATGTTTCTTTTGGATACAATGCTATATCTTATCAGGTTATTAAGACTTATCCAATTCTGTAACAATTTTCAGATATCATAAAATGCACATTGAATCCTGTATTAAATTATTTGGGGATTAAATACCATTCAGTTATCTATCATACACTCTTCCCTCATCTAACATGCAGATAATTAAAATTATTAAAGGAAAGAAGTTGATAATAGTGATCCCAACATGTGCATGTTTGGCAGTTCATCTCAAGCAAACAATTAATAATAAATATACACAATACACACAACTTGTGTAATGTATCAGGAAAAGTATGAATGATTTTCAGTACTCTTAGTTTGGTTCCCTGTTACCTTTATAATCCTTTAAAAATAGGACAAGAACAGTCTTCTCCAAATGTTACATGATCTATCATTTCTTAAACTATTGGACTTAAGTTAAAGGTTTAGAATTCTAACACATTCACATTCATGGAAGAAATACTGGAGATGAAGACGATCAGGAGGTGACATCTCCTTCCAAAAAAAGAACTCATATTGTCCCTCAAGGAAGGCTGTCTTCTCACCTCTCACCAAGAGGTGGACACAAGTCTAATATACTTGGCAGAACATTGTGATTTCAGAGCCAATTGATGGGACAAAGCTGATGTGAAAGAGGGATGTTTGAACTCTCCCCAAACTATTTAAACAACTAAGTTGATCGCTTTCAGTTAACGTGAAACCAAAATGCACCTTGGATGGATTGATTAATATAAAACCTTCTGTTTTTGTTTTTCCTATTGTGCGTAAGAACCCATGTATTGACTTTCTGTTTTGAAATTTTCAGTATCTGTCATCACTTTCTGAAAAAGGGAAGCAACAGATTCCCTTGGGGGCAGCACCACCTACTGGAAGCAATGCCTTCCAGCTGGGAACCATATTTATTCGAATAGCCCTTTAACTGGCAAACGTGAACTTTCTCTCCTTTGACAGGACCTGGGTTGTCTCAGATGTCTCTGATTGACAGTTGTACATAACTCTAGGACTCAGCGCACCTTGAGTTTCCATAGAAAGTCTGGTGGCCCTTTTTCAGAATATAGTGTTCAGCCTTAATTGGATCCAATTATAGCAATTTTAATTATAACCCAACCCTTTGCCAATTAGCCAATCACATAGATTGCAACCAACCCCAAGCTCCTCCAATCAGGGTAAAGGGCAGTACTGCCTTGGGATATAAGCAGACACACTAGCTACCCAGGGTCTGTTGTTTTCCCTTCTGGCACAAATAAAAACTTTTGCCTTGCCACTCACTCTCTTCTAAGCATGTGTTTGATTTTTTTTTTTTGTGTGTGTGTGTATGTGTATGTGGTTCTTCGTTATTTCTAATACAACGACCTCTAGTTTTGGAGTTAGGTGATTTGTGTCAGTTTCAGGTTTGCTCCAACCCCCAAAATCTGCCTAAGGTGTACATGAGTATAAGTATTGGTGCCTTGAGATCTTGGATAGCTACTGACTCTCCGGAGTTTAAATTCTTTTTATTTTTAATCTAGAAAATGAGCATATCTAAGGCTTGTATGAAGCCGAATTAAACAAATGTCTGGGAAGACAGTGCACACTGTAAAATGCCTGGAAACGTTACCGCTACATCAATTTTTAGTGGACCTGCGCGGTTTGTGCGCATGTCCTCTGTCTGTCCCTCTCCCTCCCCTTTTCTCCCTCTTAATGCTGCTTCTCTCTTTGTTAACCATCCATGCACCTTCTGTTCACTTTTTCTATCTGTAAAAAAACGGGAGTTTTTGATTGTGCCTGTGCACTCAGTGACCCGGGTTCTCAAGTCCTGGTGTTTATTTTGGCATTTAAGGTTTCCCGCCCTCCTCCTTCCTTCCGCTTTGCTCTCCGCAGGGCAGGGCTGGCCGCGCTGGGGTGGTGGTGATTGTGTCCCAGCCAGGGAAAGGCCGCAAGGCACTCTGGTTCCCTCACCCTCAGTCTCGCGGTGAGTGCCCCCCTCTAGGGTAGCGGGCGTGGTGGGCTCTTTCTGGTCTTGGGAAGGGCTCTGCCACGGCTGCGGGCCGTGTCCAGGGTCCGCACACACAGCGTCTCCAGAGCCCTGGAGGAAAGGAGAGCCCCGCACGCTACCAGCCCCGCGCGCCACCACTGAGGTAGGCTTGATGCTTGTGACTTGTAAAATGGAAAGTGAATCGAGCGATTGCTGATTCACGTGGAGGCTGTATTGGGACCTCTCCTTAAGCAAGAAAGAAGACGCAACTCTAAGAGTTATTATGCTGGCTCTTGGAATAAGGAAAGGGACCAGTTTTTATCATGTGTAGGGGTTTGCAGGGATGGGCTTTGTGGAGTTTAGGAATTTTCACTGGTTTTGGGCACAGTTTCAAAGGGTATTCCTTTCCTGTGCAAACAGTGGGGCCTGGAGGTTTGGAGCCCAGGGGCATTTGTGTTCCTCCAATCTGGACCACAGCCTGTATAAACCTTGTGGTATGTGTGAGTCCTGGAAGCTGTTAAGAGAATACGCAAATCAGGTAGAAGAGAGCACAAGTTATGCTGAGTAACACGTTAAAGGTGCTGAGAGTTTCTTTGCCTTTAGCCTTTTGTGGCTTAAGGTTTCAATTTTGAACAAACAGTGGCCAAAGTTTTCATTCTTTTGTGTTGTTTATGCTTGGAGATATGTTGGTGAAGGCATACTGGCTTTAGTGCATCTGGGAATTGTTGCAATGCTGGGGATGGAACCCCAGCATCTAGCAAGTGCTACACCCCAGCCGTGGATCTAGCTTTTGTGGTCCATAAGACTGAAGAAGTAGTTAGGGAAGAACACACAAACACACACCATGCTTTTAATGGCTAACAGGCTATGAGTTAATTGTCCTAGAGTTGGTTTTTTTTTTTTTTTTTGGTGGTGGTGGTGGTGGTGTGTGGGGTTTGTGAGACTGTCTCATTTCCTCCCTCAGAGTTTCTACTCCTTTATCTCTTAAGATGCACTGTTTTTCCTGGGGATTGCTGATTGTCTCAGGGAGACTCATAAAGGAGGTAACCTGGAAAGGAGGCAGGGGTGTTGGGGGAAAGCTCTTCAGGAATTGCACAGAACAGATGCCTGACATTATTGTTGAGAGGAGGCTCCTTCTTGGGGCCTGTTTGGAAGGTCCACAAGATTCCTCTCAATGCTTATATCAAGGACTGTTAATGCTCTGCCTCTGTGCACACACATCCTGAAACTGGAGCTCAAACTGTGTGTGATTAGGCTGAGTGAGGAAATTTGTGTGGCAGGAAAAGTGGGTAGGTATTGTGTGCACTATTGTTAGAAAATAGCACAGATAGCAAGATTATCAGTGAAAAACAGGAAAGTAAGTTTAACTAATGTAACTATACTGGAGAGACAGAAGACCAATGTTTCCAGCCCTGTCTTGGGTACTGACATGAGTTTCTAGATTATATAGACAAGGTGACCAGAAATACACATCATCTTGTTCACACTGTGGTCTGGTTGATCATTATCTCAGGATTGGTCCAGTTGTTCAATCCTTACCTTGTCTTAGGTATGAAAGTTGCTGTTGCCTGCTGGGGGAGTGTAGGTTCTACTCATTGCAAGACATTTATTAGTTAAATGTCTTGTTCCCAGAATCCAAGGTCACTGATCCAAAGAAAAGGGCACAGATGCAAACTGGAGGAACAGAGGCCAAGATTTTTATCCCTGCTTTTAGTTGCGTATTGGACACTTAAAGGTGGGAAAAAAAGAGTCTAAGTCCTTGTTCATTGGAAGACCTGGTATCTTCATTTGAAAGTGAGTATGAAATACAAATTGACAGTTCAGAGTTGTTTTTCAGAAAATGATGTGGAGGTGCAACTGATTACCATTCTGGAAGTGTGTTATGAGTGGCTCAGTGAAGGTAAAAACCTTGCCTGTCTCCAAATGTGTGAAGGCAGAATGAATATGGGATGGATAAAATTTTCCCAAGCTTAGTTGTTACTCCAAGTGGAGGAGAAATTTTGTTTATATTTTAAAGGTATTGATGAATATATTCTGGTTATATTAATTTAGAATGGTATTGAAAACTGGATACTAAGTGTGTTGCTTGAAGTTACTTTTGAGGTTCCTTAGTTCTGGGGATTGAATCCAGGACCTCAGATATGCTGAGTGAGCACTCTATCCCTGTGCTATACTCAGAGCAAATGTGTCTCTCCTGAGGCTGGTATTGCCTTCCGTTTCATACTATTAGTATAATTATTACTAAAGAGAACCTAACTGTAGTTGCCAATTTAGTTTCCATCTTTTATGGAAAATAGTTGACATTGGCAGGATTTAGGTTTTTTTGTTTTCATATAAAATAGTACACATGAGGATGTATTTATTAGGCTCTGTAAGAAACCAGGAAAATTCTATTAGCTTAGTAGTTTAATTAAACTATATTCTGGCTAATAAATGAATGCATGTACTGGGAAGATATTCAGAGATCCTATCTTTGAGATGTTTGAAGTACCCTGTGAATTACAAGGTTTTCCCCCCTTACTGTCACTTGGGAGCAAGTCTTATTCTAAAAATAAAGGTTTTAGGAAATATTTTTGATCCCCATTATTTTTAAATTTAATATTATTATTATTATTTTTTGCTTTGTGTAAACTCAGAATAGCCCTTAATATTCAGAACATTTGGGATATTCTTCCTTTATTTTAGTTAAAATTTTACTCTCTGCTGATTAAATTCACAGTTGTAAATGGGTTCAGTTGAATTTCAAATCCATATTTATGTTAGTCATATTAGCAATAATTTTATCACCAGGCAGTGCTATTAACATCCTGTGAAAGAGGTCAGAGTATACCCCTCACTGTTCCACAAATATTCAGAGTCAAATTGGTAGGGGATTAGGTTTCATTCAAAGCCAGTTTTGAAGGAAGTCACAAAAAGCTTTTAGTGTTTGTTTCAGATCATCTTTCATAGTCTCTAGGGTGAGGAAAGATTAAGAGAAGACCTGGCAAAATGAGAAAAAGGCAGGAGATATAAATATGCAGATTGAGTCAGTCTGTGCTAGACTGTCCTGGGCAGGGAGCAGTCTCCACACTCCACTTCCTTGGTGTCCCCCAGGCCATGGGTAGGGGCAGCCCCTCAGCTTTTAGTCTCAGCATGAGGAAATTATTCTCAATTTTAGAGGAGACCCCAATTTTAGACTTTTTCAAATGCCCCTGTGTAGTTCACCCCTCAGTTCTTGTGGGGATTTGGGATCCATGTCATCTGGCTGGCAGTCTAGTTTTGAGTCAGTGTGTAGAACTTGAACATTAGGCAAAACAGTTGCTTATTCCTTCAGGACTCAAATTCTGAACTGTTTAATAGTTGTATTTATGGGAAGGGCCTTAGCATTAGTCTTTGTAAGAACTCTTTTTCATAAGTCCTTGGCTATATGTTTTTAGTGATGTTTGACAAATGACTCCATGGATTTCCCCACCTCTGAATGATTTCCTCTGAAGTTACTACTGGTTATTTGCCAACATGGGGACCTTGTTCTGTTCTTTCATCTAAGAAGTCCCATGTAAGTTAATGACACAGTTGGAGTCAACATCAGAAGACCTCCTTTTAGTCAATTTTAAGCAACAAATGGTTTTGGGAAAGATCAGCTTCTAGGTCAGAAACACACACACACACACACACACACACACACACTATTAATAAGAGCAAAGAAATGGGGTCTGTACAATAGATTTGAATTAACAAATACAATACCATTAGTTCTATCACTTTCATCCAATCAAAGAAATCAACTTGTCTGTAAAAATAGTCCTGTCAGATCTGCACTAGATGGTGCTTATCTGCTAGAGTCCTTCTTATGGAAATCAAGGTTAATCACCATCTGGGTAGAAAGTTTAACTCACATTCCATAACACATTTAGAATTTAGGTACATTTTACAGTACTGTTAAAATTTTGAACATACCCTACATGAGTTAATGTCATGACACAAATTAAGAACACACACACACTCAGAGGTACTTTGTATAACCTCAAAATGAAAACTTTACAACTGAAAAGAAATTTTAAATTATTTAGTGTTAGTATCATATCTTATATCAAAATCTTTAATGTTAGATCTGTCTTGAGATGGGAGATGAATAGAATAGAATTGCTTCTTATTAACTAGACACAGAGCTCATAATATCTAACATAATTATAAACAATGTATAAGATAATATTAATTAGAGTACTTAGCAAGTTAGCAAGACAACTTAGTGATGTCTATAATACGTAGACAATCATGATTTAATGGTATAAAACAAGTCTTCATCAAGTTCACATTGCTTTGAAAAATAGCAGTTATTTAAATCTAATGCTCATTAAGTCTGCGATTTGATAGGAGAGACATAGGTCAAACCAAAAAAAATATTTTAAGGTAAAATTTTAACTTAAAAAAATCTCATTTTTGTCCTATGTAAGTCATTAAAAATGGAGAAAATAAAAGATATTTAAAATAATACAAATCTGTAAGAAATAAAATGATGATGACATATTAGAAAGGTAGATCTATATTTACTATCAAAAGTAATAATGCTTTTAGTGAAAAAGGTTCTATAATATTTTATTGAAGCAAACTAGACTTTTGACATCAAACATAGCATAAGATACATTTAACAGCTCTTCAGAACATCTTAAGTCAGTCAAGCATCTTGCATATTAGAATACCATATAAATTCATTTTAACAGCTCTCTTTAGATTACCCAAGGACATACAAAGCATTGAACATTATATCTTAAATATCTAGAGACAATTATCCCAATTGGTTAAAAAGAAATAATTAAGCCGGGCGTGGTGGTGCATGCCTGTAATCCCAGCAGATCAGGAATTTGAGGCAGGAGGATTGAGAGTTCAAAGCCAGCCTCAGCAACATCGAGGCCCACTCAGCAACTCAGTGAGACTCTCTCTCTAAATAAAATACAAAATAGGGCTGGGAATGTGGCTCAGTGGTTGAGTGTACCTGAGTTCAATCCCTGGTATTCCCCCCCCCCAAAAAAAAAAAAAAAAAAAGAATTACCAGATTTTAAAGATATCCTTATAATTAACAAATTCAAATTACTTGTTTTACATTTATTGAAGTCATGTGAATCAAAAGACAGCTGTGATAACTTAGCAGGTTTTAAGTTATGTCTTACTTATCTATAACTAAAT